TTCTAATTAGGCCATCTTTTTAAAATCCCATTTCAATTAAATTCAGGAAAAATAACGATTTTGGAAAGATTCGGCTTCTTTGGTTTATCTCCCAAAAGATTCGGAATTTCTATGTAACCAATTTCTTAGTTACCTGGATGCCCTGCCACACCTTTTTTATAAATAAGAGGAAATGGCGGTGTGATTCCTCTTTTCTCTTTTTTTAAATTAAATTAATTAATGACTTAGTAAATTACTATAAATGAAATTACGGGTCGGCCAAAGCAAAACAGCTCTCAAGTGGCGTGCAAATTTAGGCCCTAGCTCAATAAATCGGAGAGTAGGGGAGCTGTTAAGGGCGCCAGTGACTCAAGACGGACTAAGCCACAAATCCCCGAGATTTTAGTCGGAACTTGTTTTGTTTGACCACCACACAAAGAAAAGAATTTAACAGTAATGCTGAAACCTAATTAACTGTATACAGAGAGCCAAATAAAACAAGATATTAAAAAAAAGAATCACAATATATTGTCAAAACAAGCAGCACATATGCTCCACCACTGCAATGCAAGTTAAAAGAAAATTACCTGACAATAAAATTAATAGACCGTAATAACTAATCCTGCAAAACGTTTACCATGGTGCACGTACGAAGGCTTTACAAATATAGCTCTTACAATTATTTCAACGTCTGAATCTAAACTTATCTGGACCATGGTCTTCTTCCAGTTACAGCTCTAGGCGTAGCTGTGATGTTCTCAGCTCTCAAAAACTCAAGTCAAAAATCAGTGGCCAGTGTTGAGCAGTGACGTAAGGAACGTCACAAGGTAGCGGCTGGTTGCCTCGTTCTCAAAATTTATGGTATAAAAAAACCCTGTTCACATCAGGGTTTTTTTATCAAGGGAAGAGGTGGCTTCCAGCAAAATCGGCTGCGAAACAGCTACAAGGGAGCTACAAAACAAAGCTGCAGGAGTGTAAATGGTGGTTCTCCACAATGACTTTCCACGCTGGAGGTAAAATCCCATTACAAAATGGACGGATAGTACCCTAACCAACACAACTAAAAGTAAGGTTCAAAATAAAAGGGTACTACTCCATAAACTGGTGTTTGGGGCGTTAATATCCCAAAATCTTTAGGTTAACGAAAAAAACGCCCGCACCCACCCAAAACTGCAGCAGAAAGAAAATGGCACTGGATCATCTGCGCACGCAACCCCCTAAAAGAAGGTTGAATAAGTGGCCCTGAAGAAGGCACGTTCGACCGAACATCAAAAGGAACAGATAAATGCCGGTAAAGAAGGTATCTTGATAGGAATGTAAACATTCATATATGGCTAGTACGTGAAAACATCATACGATGGCGCGCTGGCTACCGATGGGCAGACTGTAGGCAGAAACAAATCTGTCTACGAGGGACCAACGATATTTTATGAGGAAATTTTACAGATAGTCGTTAATAACACTATAACATTTGAGTCCAAAAGATTTCAATACAATATTGAGTCGCTCAGAATGACAGATATAATACGTGTGAAATTCTACAATCAATAAACTATGAAATTTGACAAAAGAAAATCATTAAAAAAAGGTTTGGTCTAGGAATCGGTACTCTACTTTTAACGAAGAGAAATTCAAATTACTCATATGTGATCAAAACGTGATTTTAGCACGTGACAGCCCAACTTTTCCGATTTAACCGACTTACATCTGTTACCGTATTCGTAATTCGCAAGCTATTTTAGTTCTCGTGAAAACTATGGAAATAGTACTATACCAATTTTATTTAGTTGCAGAATTTGAATTATTTTCACAGATCTTTCTCAAGAAAATGTCGACCTAGATTACACTACCCAAATAGGTGTCCACATCTCAAAAATTCGGATTATAAAATGAATAAGATCTATAGTTGTCAGGAGGTTGACAGTATCAATGTCAATTAACACTTATTTCTAAACTGCAACAAGACAATTTTAGAACGAAACAATATTCTTAAGGGTACATCAAAGAGTCCTCTCCTATTTTGGCTTTCCATAAAAAAAACTTAGGCTGCAGCAATGAGCGTGTCTGTCACGGTAGTCTCATTTCTTTGGAGCTTTGATGTGAAACTATTTGTCAACAATGTTTGATACCCCACGAAATCAAATAATCAAGCATAATCTATATGATAATATCGCGCCCACCTCGTATCTACGTATCTCACCGCGCCGTCTGCTACCTGTTTTTATCCTGGGATCCACTACCAGAGGCAAATCTATAACGACTACGTCAATCTTTTAAATATATGAAGAAGAGAATGAAGAGCCTGACCAGAAACAAACAGAAGAATCAAAATCAAGAAGGACTTCAAAACAGTAAAGAAAATGAACATCAAAAACATGAAACTCATAGTCAAGAAAAGCAAAGATAAGTTGATCCTACGAGTATTTTACATGATACATGAATTGGTGCAGACCAAGAAGAGAAACAAAATTATCTGAGAGAATGAAGGATTATATTTTAGATTTAGAAGTGATGCAGAATATACAGATGAAGGTCAAGATAAAGAATTTTTATCATACAGTGAAGCTGTAAGTAGCGGAGGCAAAGAACAGTGGATACGAGGGCGCTTCAATAAGTACTTAACCTACAAACGAAAAACAAAATTTTTGGAAAAAAGGCGATTTATTTTTCAACATAATCTCCTTTTAGTTCGATTACACTTGAACCAGCGATGCTCCAACTTCCTTAATCCTTCTGAAGAATGCGTTTTCAAAGTAGGCCTCCGTTGCGGCCATAACCTCCTCATTCGACTTAAATGTCTGCCCAGCGAGTGACTTTTTCAAGTTTGGAAAATGAAGTCGCACGGGGCCAAATCTGGATAATACGGTGGATGGGGCAGCAGTTTGTAGATTAATTCGTCCGATTTGGTCGTGGCGACGGCGGAGGTGTGAGCTGGTGCGTTTTCACGGCGGAAAAGGTCTTTCTTCTTCGCCAAATAGGACCGTTTTGCTCTTCTCCAGGTAGTCGATGTAGATCACACCTTGTGAATCCCAGAAAACGGTGGACATCACCTTTCCGGCCGATAGGACAGTCTTCGCATTCTTCGAAACACGTTCGCTGGGTGAGGTCCACTCTATCGTTGTTGTCCGGACTGAGCAAACGCGGCATCCATCGCACCGACAGCTTTCTCATGCCCAATATTCCATGCAAGATATAACCCACTCAATCTTTTAAGATGCCTACTGTCCTACCTATCTCGCACACCTTCAATCGACGGTCTGCCAATACGAGATCGTCGATTTTTGTCAAGTTATTCTCCGTGGTAGCCGTGTTCGGGCGAGGCTCAAAAACTGACGTGCGACCAAGTTGAAACTCGTTAAACCAGTTTTTGACAATCGCCATCAAAGGAGAACACTCACCATACACAGCATCCAACCGCTATTTGATTTCGCTGCGCGATTTCCCTTCCCCAAACAAGAGTCGAATTACTGACCGATATTACTCTTTTTCCATTTTTCTGACATTCACGGACACGGCTGAAATTTTGACAGTAGCCGCCTATGAGAATTTACTACACGATAGTGAATTTCTTTTGCGATAGTGGCGTCATCGGGCGGTGAGGTTAAGTACTTATCGGACCACGATAGTAAAAGCCATACAAGATGAAAAAGAGTCTTTGTTAAAAAACACTACATGGATATATGTGGATGAGAAAAAAGGAAAAATGAAAGAAAATCTTCCAAGTAGATGAATTTTCAAGATAAAAATGGCAAGTACATAACCAGATTAAACTATTTGCTCTTTCGTTAGATGTAGAAACAGCATTTCTTAATGGACAATTAGAAAAGCAAAAGTACATGAAGGTTTTGAAAAGCCAGGAAAAGTCTGTCTCTTGCAAAAATCACTTTATGGTTTAGGACAAGCACCATGCAAATCAAAAAGAATAAAATATGTTATAAAGTTGAAAACACACCAGTACATTTTAAAATCTGAGGATGAAGATATATATTTTGCAACACATATAGACAATAGTATAATAGTAGAAAAAGATGAAGATAAATAAATAAAAGATAGACGGATTACAAAAAATTTCAATGAAGCAATTTGAAATAACCATAGAAAAAGATCCAAACTTATCTAGACATAACAGAAACTGTAAATGGAATTATGATTTATCACGAAAATTATGCAAACCAAGTATTGAGGAAATACAATATGGATTCAGGCATCGATAATAGCTGACACTAATATCGAGAAAAAAGAAAATGCCCAAAAAGACAAAAACTTTAGCTAGAAGTTTGCTTTATATATCTTGTAAAACACGACCAGAGTAACATCAAAATCTGGTATTTTACAGGGTGACGGCAAAATAGATGCGGAGATCCGGTACCGGTGGGAGGAGATAGTACAAGCCAGTTTGAGTCGATTTTACTATAGGAACTACTGTCCGAAAATTAGCCGTTTTTGAATTATACTAATTTTTATTTTATTTTATAAAAATAACGTCCTTTATACGTTCACTAAGTCATAAAACTTGAAAATTGGGTGTTTCATTTGTTTTTTTTTTGTTTTACAATAAAAATATTCTAAAATACGAAAATTGATACTCAAATGTACATTAGTGACGTTATCTCATGCAGTAAGCTTCAAAAATGTTAAAAAAAATCTTCGTTCATCTCAAAAACTCAATTTACTAGAAACAATCACATAGAAATGTTTAGTGCAAAACAATTTTAAAATACCTACGTTTCATTACCTTTCAAATGAGGTATCAAAGTCACAAACCGGTGTTGAAATGACAAAGATATGAGTGAAATAATCGGTAGAGCCGCGAACATCGGACTTTGCCACCGGAATAGTGTGATAAGAGTAGTCACCCCCCTCCCTCCCTCGCTTCAATCTGCTCTTGCGATTTGTTGCATTCGGATGTGTTTGTTTGCTCGCTGTTTTGATATTTCTAACGACTTGGCTCTTCTTGGACTTCCGGGTATGATCCTTTTCCTGACGACTCAGACTGTACCCTGTTTTCTGTGATTCCTTACGACTTGGCTGCTGTGTGACTTGATTGTTCGTTGATCTACCTATCGATGAACAATGGCTGGCAGTTTCGAAGAATATGCCAATATCCTTTTTTACTATGGAGATGCCAGAGGCAATGCTGAAGAAGCTCGTCGTGAGTATGAGGAAATGTTTCCTAATCGTCGCCTACCTGACGCCCGCGTATTTAGGCAAACGTTCTGTCGGGTTCGAGAGCGCGGTACCGTCGAAAAGATAACAAGGTAAGTTTGCATCATTGATAATTATTATTAACTTATCATAATCAGTCATTCAGTAAGGCCTATGTAGAGCCTTGGAGGTCTGTGGGCTGAACTGATGATACTGTAACATAGTTGTTTTGATACAGTTGCTGGAACTTCTTAAAGAGTTCATTTAATTTTAACACGTGCATCTAAACGGCTCTGAAGATGGAAACATCCACACGTTGTGTATCGTTTTTTCTAAATAATATTTTGCCAACTCTAGCTCATAGTCTTACCGCTATCTTTATTAGGTAACAATTTCATCCAAAAAACTGTTGTTATTTGTTTTTTCGTTTTATTTCAGGTGCTGCATTTAGACCTCGACATGATGTGGAAGAAGAAATATTAATTTTTTGTGGTATGTTTTGCATGAAAACATATTCCACCCTTACCACTACACACCTGTGCACGTCATAGAGGAAGGAGATGCCATGAGGCGCATGTAATTTTGCCGTTTAATTTTAAACGCTGATGTTGAAGATAGAAATTATTTAAGAAAAATTCTATGGACCGGCGAATCAAAATTTGATAAAGACGGCATAACAAACTACCATAACGCTCACTATTGGCGTGAACCTGCAGTGGGAAATCCTCATATGAAGAGACCAAAAGGATCTCAAAGGCGATTTTGTCTTAATGTCTGGATGGGCATCATAAATAACTGTTTGGAAGGACCAGATTTCCTACCGGACAACTTAACTGGAGAAGCCTACGAAAATTTCTTAAGAAATGTTCTATTTGAATTACTTGAAAACGTGCCGCTACACACAAGACACAGAATGAATTTTCAGCGTGACGGGTGCCCAGCACATTTCAGATTAAGTGGTAGAAATTGGTTAAATGAGCAGTTTCCGAATCGATGGATCGGTATAGGCGGACCAATCCCATGGCCAGCACGCAGTCCCGATCTCACACCTATGGACTTTTTTGTGTAGGGTCGCATGAAAACTTTAGTATACTCTGATCAAAATCCTGTACCTACAATAGAAGATCTCAGAAACAGGATAATACATGCGGCACAAGAAATTCAAGCCTCTCTTAGGAATGCGGCGGTAGTAAACTCAGCGGTCATAAGAAGAGCACGTGTGTGCATTAGAAATAGAGCACGCCATATTGCAAATGTATTATAAAAATAAAAAAAATGTAGTTTCAAACAAATTATCATGTATTAAGGTATGATTTTGTAAGTGTAGTATTTTTATTGCTTTTTTCTTCCTCCTCTTATAATAGTCATATTTTTGCCAATTCTTAATAGATTTGTGATTTTTATAACTCATTTGAATGGTAATGAAACGTATATGTTTTCTAATTATTTTGAACGAAAAATTTGTATGCGACTTTTTCTAGTAAACTGAAGCTTTTGAGATGAACGAAGATTTTTTTAACAAAAATCGAACTATTTTGAAGCTTACTGCAGGAGATAACGTCAATAATGTACATTTGAGTATCAATTTTTGTATTTTAGAATATTTTTATTGTGATACCAAAAAAAAAATCTAATAAAACACCCAATTTTCAAGTTTTATGACTTGGTTAACGTATAAAGGACGTTAATTTTATAAAATCTTAAAAATTAGTATAATTCGAACGGCTAATTTTCGGACAGTAGTTCCTATAGTAAAATCGACTCAGATTGGCTTGTACTATCTCCCCCCACCGGCTCCGCATCTATTTTCCCGTCATCCTGTATACAGAAATGGAAATAGAATTGAAAAATAAGAAACCTTAGAGTTAGTAACATTTTTGTGATTATGCCGGTGATGTAAGACCTATAGGAAAGGAGCAGCCGATATTAGAAGAAGAAGTAGCTCAGGATTTGTGATCATGTTTTGTGATGGACCAATATCGTGGTGTTCAAGACGACAAAGTATTCAGTCAACTATTCTAGCTGAATTGATAGCCGCTTGTGAGTGTGCAAAACAACTAAATTAATAATTAGATCTTGATTTCCCATTAAACGGAGTTTCAACCAAACTATTACAAGAACTAACTAAAACAGCGCAGAAATGAGTATAAATTCTTATGGTAAAGATGCCGACTTTAGAGATGAAATTTATCCGAACGTTGTCGACAAAGCAAACGATCTGGCTGGCATGAATGGAAGGCAGACATCAATTTCAATTAGCTCGGAGCTATACAAACAGTCGGGATTGTTCGTGGGCATAATAGGCATTATTGTCGGACGTTGGCGACAACTTGCCTCTTTATGTGCGATAATAATTTCGCCACAGGCTCCTGGAGTTGGAATTTTAGATCAGTTCCAAAGTCATATGTGGGCAGAGTTATGCTGTGAATGCTATCCAAGTTGAGGCAGGACGTTAGTAATAGGAAACCAAGGTTACGTGGTGGTAAAAGAAACAAACGAAAGTAGAGCGTATAAAAAAATTCAGAAAATGTTTTCTGTAGTGTGTTTGATCCTTTGTAGTCTAGTAAAATGACGAATTGAATTGGGGTGATAGCAATTTTGTCATAGGACGTGATTAAGAAATCTGATATCGTAAATCGGAAATCATGTTAGGTTTTACCGGAGTTTCATCCATGATATCGATAACGCTGGTAGCGCAACAAGTCAGGAACTAAGCAAATTTTGCCATCCAGATATTTTGATGTTTCTGAGCATATAGTGTGGCTAAATTATTGAAAACATGTAAAGCACGTTATGGCGACGAAGAAACATTTTATCGGCATATAACTTTTGCAATTAGCGTCAATTAGCAACCTTGGGACAATTTTAATTTATATATAAGTATCAATTTACATGTCTCTATCGAATTTCCTATAATACCGTTACACTGCCGCTTATGTCCATCAACTCCTTGAATTCGTTTGAATGAATGTATCATAGGAAATGAAATGATTGAAGACGATGTCACAGATGGTTGAATCAAACTGTGTAAAAAATAGAATAGAATGTTATAGTACTATCAGATGCAATAACAGCTAATATCAAAGTGGTTTAAAATTATCCCAGGACTGAGAATATGGCCATAACATATGGAGTAATTACCGAATTTTCAAATAAGCCACGATCTGTTCAATGACCAGTTCAATTCTGTTCTGTATTATTTTCTTATTGTCCCTATGCACAACAAAGGACTACAATAGACTTTTAACTGCTGTGAGTACTTATGTTGGGTAGGCAGTTTCCATTCAGTGGATAACCCATTATCTTAATGGCAAATCCATTGTGACGTAATGGCGTTTCAGGAAAAGTAGTTTTCTCTAACAGAGTGGCTAAGCAACGAGAAACTGAAGGAAATGAGGTTTTTTTAGCATCAGGTGCCTCGTCTTGGTTAAATGTGGGTTTTATCGGTGTCGCCTGTTGATAATCTACATAACATACTTTCCCATAAAATTAATACACCGCCAAAAGGTAACAGTCGAAGGCACAATTTTGTATGGGGGTCTCGAATTTCGAACTCGACATTTTTCATTTGACAAAATCTTGTCAAGCTATAACCAATGATGTTATTTTTTCACAGGCAAAATAGCAGAAGATAAAATAGGAGTTTGCTTAAAAAATATTTAATTTCTCTCCGTTCTTGACCACCTGATCAAAGGCTAAGGCGGAAGTGCTTGGTAAGATCTTTGCTGCCAACCTCTCCATGGAAGTCCCACCCAACGCCCAAGTACCGTCGATTCTAAGAGATCCCTACACCATGCGGGAGGTAACATACTCTCGTCGCTCGGCATCAACAAAGCTTCTAGTCCGGATTTGATTCCTGCCATTGTATTGAAGAGGTGTACAGCGGAGCTTGCTCTAGTTCTTTCTCGTCTCTTCCAGATATCTTACGAATCCGGCTCCTTCCCAGAAAACTGGAAATTTGCTTATGTCCAACCCATCTCAAAAAAATGATTTAAGACCGACCCTTACAACTTTAGGCCTATAGATCTGCTTCCTGTTAGAAGTACGGTAATGGAGAGGTGCATAAATAGCGAGCTTCTGGACTACCTCAAACCCCACGACTTGATAGCGTCAGGCAGTATGGTTTCCGGCACTAGCGATTCACAGGGGACCTCCTAGTAAAGTAAACTCATCAAGTCTTATTGTGAGGCTCATGTCGTTCGATCAGCTGTAGTACGCTGCCGTCTTATGCAAACTTCCATCCTATGGCCTCCCAGAGAAGCTTTGCAGATGGGTGAGTGATTTTCTCTCTGGCCGCAAAATATCCATTATAATTGACTGGCTCTCCTGTTCATCTCACAACGTCAATGCGGGTGTTCCTCAGGGATCGGTCTTGGCTCCGACACTGTTCCTCTTATATATCAACGACCTCTTTTCCTGTACGAACAACCTAATCCACAGCTTTGCTGATGATAGCACTCTACCTGCAGGAATTCAGGCGACAAGCCGATCTCTATCGGTCAGCTGGAAAAAAGGAAGCTAGCCGCAACATTCTCTCTGAGGAGAGGCCTGGAGGCTATGACTGCTGGGAGCGCAGCAATCTTGTACAGTTAGTGCTTCCAAAACACACACTCTTTACGAACAACAAGCGCCCTAGCGCTCATCCGGTTTCGATGGATGAGCGAGTTCTGTCAAAGAGCCGTTCATTTCGGCTGACATGACATGACCTCCTCACTCTATACAAGGCTCAGATAAGACCTAGCCTCGAGTATTGTTCACATGTTTGCGGTGCTGCCTGCCCGACTACATTATTTATGCTCGATGTTGTTCAGAGGAGGGCTGTCCGACTGATCGATGACTCTTCTCTAACAGACAGTCTCGGGACCCTTTCGCACCGGCGGGTCGTCGGCGATCTAGCTGTCTTCCACCGCTACACCAACGAGCTTTGCTCCTCAGAGCTTTCGTCCATGATCCCGCTGCATGTTGTGCCTGCCAGGCAGACCCGCCAGACTT